TTATTTTTGGGACAGAGAGAGACAGAGCATGAACGGGGGAGGGGCAGAGAGAGAGGGAGACACAGAATCGGAAGCAGGCTCCAGGCTCTGAGCCATCAGCCCAGAGCCCGACGCGGGGCTCGAACCCACGGACCGCGAGATCGTGACCTGGCTGAAGTCGGACGCTCAACCGACTGCGCCACCCAGGCGCCCCTGTTTTTGTTTTTAGTAGGCTCCACACCCAGCGCACAGCCCAACGCAGGGCTTGAACTTACAACCCTGAGATCATGACCTGAGCTGAGATCAAAAGTCAGATACCTAACAGGCTGAGCCACCCAGGCACCCTGCTCTTTGGTGGTTTTGTTCCTGATCTTCATGGTTTTCGATCTCACATGCGTATATAAATACTTAATCAAGGACTTGAGGGTACCTCTGCAAATTTCCAGAGCACTGTATCTCTGTGTGGGTACCTCTTCTCTGATAATCTGCTTCATGTACTATAGCTGCCTAGACCTGTCCAACTCTGAACTGTCTCTTCACTCACCAAGACAGCCCATCCATTTGGATTCTCCCTCATTGCATGTGTTCCCCTCACCACCACCCCCTACCTTGCCAGTGAGCTGGGGCACTTGTTTGTTTTTCTTCTTTCAGGGATTACACTTCTGTACTGATTATTACCTAATGTTTGAAAACCAAGTGTTTCATATATTTTTCCCAACTTTTAGTTTTTAGGATGCAAGGAAAATTCTGTTACTTCATCAGAGATGGGAGCAGAAATTTTTACTCTTGGATTTTGTCCTGTTGATTCCTTGCTATATCTTCCCAGTTCTTTGATGCTTTTAAGGATTTAAAAACTCTTTTATACAGCATGTTTAAAGTTTTTAATGGGAAATTTGGTTCAAATAGCCTAGGCTATCATTATTAGAAATGGAAATCAGTATGGTCTTTCCAATTAAAGAATAAAATAGAAAAAGTATTCTAAGATATCTTCATAAAAGTGGAACAGTTGGGTGAGAGGGTGTGGATAATGCTGTGGTTCCTCTAAACAGTCAAAAGGATAAAATAAGGAATCTGGGGGGCGCCTGGGTGGCGCAGTCGGTTAAGCGTCCGACTTCAGCCAGGTCACGATCTCGCGGTCCGTGAGTTCGAGCCCCGCGTCAGGCTCTGGGCTGATGGCTCAGAGCCTGGAGCCTGTTTCTGATTCTGTGTCTCCCTCTCTCTCTGCCCCTCCCCCGTTCATGCTCTGTCTCTCTCTGTCCCAAAAAAATAAATAAACGTTAAAAAAAAAAATTAAAAAAAAAAAATAAGGAATCTGGGACATATATTAGGCAGGCCTGGGTAGAATTCCCAGACATGGCCCAGTTTTGCATGTAATGGATATTAGATGGTAAGTTACTAATAGACCATTAAGGTAGGATTTTTATAGTAGAAAATAATGTAATAAACTGAAAGAAATCATAGTGGGACAGTTATGATGAGTTGTTTTGATTTCCACCTAGATATTCTACATTTCCTCATCTTTTTACACCGTCAATTACATCTGGTATCTGTACAAAGAGCTGAGGATGAGACACAACCAGAGTGGACAGAACACATTTGCACTGGTGAGTTTTATTCAGAGCTAACAGTTAACAATATGCTAAAATAAACCTATATATCCTTGATAAACAGTGTAAGCAATCTGCACTGGCTAGGTGAATTCATGGAGGTTAATAAAAGAAAAATCATGTTCTCACAGAGTTTCCATTTTGTTGACAAGATTTTTTCTTCTCTCTTGCTACCAAAAAAATAAAAAGGTTTTGATTATAGGAAACATTATTTACAGTACTGTCATTATTGCCTGGTTCCATCAAGTAAGGGAAATCCTTATTGGCTCTATGCTAATTCATCATTGTTGTTAGAGTAGAGAATAAGATCTTAGGTAGAGTCAGGGAAAGTGCTTAGTTTGCTAACATGGGATTTGGGCTACAGGTACTGGAAAGGGAGAGTGTTCTGCTTGGCTGTATTGCTTCAGTATGTGTGGATAACAGATACAGTTTGCAGAAGGGCAGAGGAGTTAATGTGTGGCCATCAGAAAACAAGGTAGATCCGGGGAATAGTTTTCCTCCTTTGGTTCAGAGGGAGTTTGGGGCATTGTGTAGTATTACACTTACAAAAGAGAGGAGAACTCTAAGTCAGTGCATCTGGATTTTGTGTGTGTGTGTGCATGTATGCATGCATATTTTTACCTATCAGATAATTTATTATTTCAAGTGTACAATCCAATGACTTTTAAATTTTTTTTTTCAACGTTTATTAATTTTTGGGACAGAGAGAGACAAAGCATGAACGGGGGAGGGGCAGAAAGAGAGGGAGACACAGAATCGGAAACAGGCTCCAGGCTCTGAGCCATCAGCCCAGAGCCTGACGCGGGGCTCGAACTCACGGACCGCGAGATCGTGACCTGGCTGAAGTCGGACGCTTAACCGACTGCGCCACCCAGGCGCCCCTCCAATGACTTTTAAAGCAGACTTACCAGCTTGTATAATAGTGATCATAAATAAGTTGTAGAATATTTTCTTCACCCCAAATTCTTCATGACCATTTATTGTTAATTTCCTGCCCGCCCCCTGCACTAGACAACAGTTAATGTACTTTCTGACTCTATACATTTTCCTTTTCTGGACATTTCATATAGGTAGAATCATCCAATATATAGTCTGTTGTATCTGGTTTATTTCACTTGGCATACTTTTGAAGTTTACCCATCATAGCATACATAAGTAATTCATTCTTTTTTCAGTGTTGAATAGTATTCCATTGTATAGTACACTCAGTTTCTTATTTTTGATTCTATCAGTATATCACTAAGTGATCTTAGAAGACATTTTTATGATGTTAGCCATTTTCATTTCATTTTTTTTCTTTTGAGAAAGAGCAGGGGAAGGGAAGAGGGAGAGGGAGAGAGAGAATCTTAAGCAGGCTCCACGCTCAGCATGGAGTCCATCACAAGACTCAGTCTCACAACTGTGAGATGATAACTTGAGCCAAAATCAAGAGTTGGACCCTTAACTGACTGAACCACCCAGGCGCCCTAGCCATTTTCATTTCTTTGACTGTCATTATACATTTTAATCTTCCTATACAAATCTTACTAAGTATTCCAGTTTTCTTATTTCTTACAGTATCCATTATGCTGTGTGTTTTTTTTTAAGATTTTATTTTTTGGTAATGTCTACACCCAGCATGGGGCTTGAACCTACAATCCCAAGGTTAAGAGTCTCACACTCCACCAATGAGACAGATGGGTGCCCCTGTTGTGGGTTTTTTTTTGTTTTTGAAGAGGAATTTTTGTTTAAGAGCATCATGGAGTAATTGAATCTGGAAAACCTCCCTACATACATTTCTCTAGCTCCTACAGATCAGTTGTAGACTAAATGAAAGTTGGTATACTGTCATGCACATGATGAAACTCAATAAAAACTTGTTGAATGAGTAAATGGTACTATTCCATTGTCAAAAGAGATTTGAGGGTGAATCAGGAAATCTGTCTTCTAGATGCAGTTCTATCATTTATCTCCTTTCTGATCTTGAGCACATCATCTCCTTTTCTTGGGTCTCAGTTTTCCATAAAATGAAGCGTTGGTCTCTGTGATCTTTAATGTCACTTATAGCTCCAAAATGCTGTGATACTCTAAATCCTCATCTGACTGGTTTCTAAAGAAGATATGTTTCTTGCATTTTTCTAGCCTTGTCCTAGATATATGTTGTTGGAGAAGATTGAGAGCATAGAATGCTTTGAAAACTTTTCTCTTTTTTCTTTTTTGCTGGAAGAATGGGCAGTGAGGAAATCATTGAAAACTTAATGTGAAGAGACCTTAGTTAGCATCCTGAACAAGATATTATAGTCTATCCAAGCCCTGTTCAATAGAACTTTCTGCAGTGATCAAAATATTTCATGCACTGTCCAGTTCAGTAGCGATTAACGAGTGGCTGTTGAGCACTTGAAATGTGGCTGGTGTGATTGAGGAACTGAATTATTTAATTTAATTTTAATTTTAACCACATGTGGTTAGTGTTTACCATATTGTGTAACACAGTACTCTGTTCTGGTGTTTTTTTCTCTTGTTTACATCTGGTAAGTCAATGCTTATAATTGATCTTCTGTATTTTAAACTTGTATAGTTTCTCAGCTCCCTACAATTTAGTAATGGCTATGGATATTATGTCCTTTTACGTGTTTGTCTACATAATCCTAGAATCCTAGAGCTGGAAGATACTGCAAAAAAATAATTCATTTCTCTCCCTCAAGCACATGAATGTCTAAAAAGTTCTACAGCCTTATATGGGTAGTATTTCAACTTTGGTATGTGAGGTTCATTCACTCACAAGCTAAGAGACTGCAATTTGGGAAAAGTTATTTGGCTAAAGAGGAATTCTCTAAAAAACTTACCATAATGAGACCAGAAGCCGAGAATGGGAACAAGGAGAGATATTTTTCTGAGGCTTGGGTTCCTGTCAGGAGAACAAATTAATCTTTGAAAGAAAGGGAGAGACATAAAATTAGCTCTTATATATATAGCATTCTACCGTTTTTTGTCCATGGAAATGCACATACTGTACTTTATAACTCATGCCATGGCATGAGAAGACAAACCCTAGCCCCAAATTTTAACCCCACTGCCTTTTATTCTGTCATAGCTTTATATCAGGAGCCTTGAAAATGTTTTTTTCATTTTGAATTCTCTTTTAAATATCCTAGCAAGACTTGTGCCCTAAACTGTTATCAGTAAGGCTTTTTTTTTTAATGTATATTTATTTTGAGTGAGAGAGAGAGAGAGTGTGTGTGTGTGTGTGTGTGTGTGTGTGTGTGTGTGTGTGTGTGTGTGTTTGTGTGCGCACATGAGCAGGGGAGGGGCAGAGAGGAAGGGAGAGAATCCAAAGCAAGTTCAGCGCTGTCAGCACAGAGCCCTGCGGGGTTTGATCTTACACACCGTGAGATCATGACCTGAGCCAGAATCAAGAATCAGATACTTAACCTTCATGAGATGGAGCCCCAAGCTGAGATCAAGAGTTGGATACTCAACTGACTGAGCCACCCACGTACCCCATATCAGTAAGTTTTTTTATCAGAGATTCATTAACAGAAATATAAGAACAAGAATTAAACACAGGTTAGTCTGATTCATAGGGGATAGAATAAAAAGAGAAGGGACATGGGTGGAAAAGGTCACCAAAGACTAATTTTACTTATTTCTCCTTTTACTTAAAGTCAGCATTGGCTGTCTTACTTGAAATCATTTGCTGTTCCTGATCTATAGTTTTTAGAGCACATCAATTACCCATCTCTGATTACTGATTAATTGCTCACTTAATGTTTATTGATCCCTAACAATGCCATTCTAGAAGATAATATGATCTCTTACCTCAGAACAGAAAAAAGCTTGTTTTCTATTCTGGTCTCACTTTAAGGTGATCTGTTCAAAGTCTTCTACCATAAACTTCTAGTGGGTAGATACCATTCTTCTGTTAAGTTATTTTTCAGTGTCTAACACAACTGGGGGTTTTTGAAATGCTCTTTCTTTTAGAGTGTGACAGGTGTTATATCTAAAGGGCTTATTTGACCCCCCTCTATTATGCTAATCATGGCTTATTAAGTTTTCTGCTGGTGATCTTATACACGGATTTCTGCTCCACCCATAAGGTCTGAAAAGTCCACACCTCCCTGGATCTAAAGAGAAGAGGATTGAACTATTATTAGAAGATGGAGGAGTACTGTGTGATTTCTTATTTACCTTTCTTCTTAAGAGAATTTGTTGTATCCAAGTCTTATATCAAGCTACTTCCCTCAGGCTCTCTTTGTGGCTATTGTTGTTATACTTTTTAGAATATAGTAATACAAACACAATTCTCTTATTGCCAATGCTAAGGAACTATCTATTTAATTGAATTTTGTAGCAAATATTGCTTGACACAACCAAGGTAGCTCTTGGGAATTTTTGCTCTATCAAGTGGTAAGTGATGACCTGATATTAGTATATTATGATCAACAATATTCTTTTTTTTTTAATGTTTATTTATTTTTGAGAGAGACAGAGACAGAATGCAAGTGGGTTAGTGGCAGAGAGAGAGAGAGAGACAGAAGCAGAAGCAGGCTCCAGGCTCTGAGCTGTCAGCACAGAGCCCGATGCGGGGCTTGAACTCACGAGCTGTGAGAACATGACCTGAGCTGAAGTCAGATGCTCAACCGACTGAGCCACCCAGGCGCCCCATGATTGGCAGTATTCTAAAACTTTACTCACATTTATTCTTTTCACAGGTTGTAGATTATACTTGTCATGTTGGTCAAATAGCCATCATTTTGTCAAGGTAAGGTTTTTGCTTTACTTTCTGGCTAGGTATAGACTCTCATTATTCTGTGGTCCAGGTTGGAGCAAATAGGAGGACAGTGCCCTTTATTTCCATTGACTGTATAACTCCTAGGTCCTCATAGAACTTTACTGACTTGGAAGCAACAAATATATTATCATTGGTACCATATTCCCAGATAGAATAGGCAAGCAGTTTGAAGTTACAGTTTTGAATTTTAGCCTCAGTTTTGCCATCAACTCTATGTGACTATCAACAAATATTTGCCTTTAAGTCTTTAGACTTCTAATTCCTTTTTATATCATAAAGAGTTGTAATAGAAGGCTGTCAAAATCTTACCCACCTTTATAACATTGGGTGAGAGTCTTACAACTATTAACCCCAGCAAAGGTCTGGATTTTACCTAAAACAGTGGTCATATCAGAGTTGATGTTAGAATTTTTAACTTTTATTTTTGGGTCTTTTCCTCTTACAGAGAGCTGGCTATAATTAGCTGGATAGGTAATTGGTTATTTAAATGTATGCTTTCAAAAAGCTCCCAGGAAGAGGCTGATGAGAATGAAGTTATTCCTGGTTGTCATAGAAAGTGAGCACAGAACTCCTTGTTAGATTTTTCCTTTCACTTTGACCCATTCCCAGAGACTCTCTGACAATGTTAGATTTCATTAATTTAGGTATGAAATGCATTCTCCACTCCACTTAGCAATTGGTTAAGGAGTATTTGTAAGGCTTTTGAGGTATTTTTCTTGAAGAATTTATATATATATATATACACACACACACACACACACACACACACACACACACACACACATATACACACACACACATATTTGTGGAGAGTGGTGGAGTGATAGAGTTAGGAGAAGAACAGAGTATTTTGCAAAGGGGAAAGGGAATAAAAATGTCTGAATATTAGGGTGATAAGTTTTTTTTTTTCCTCCCAGCCTGATACCTCTGCTGTTGATGATACCTGTATTTTGTCTGGGCAATGTCAGTGAATGTTTCCGCAACTTCAGTCAGAGCCACAGGTAAGCAAGGACCAGATCTATCACTTTCATGGTAGACTACACCTTTTCTTTTCCATATATAGAGATGGAAAAGACTTTCTACGTATACTTTGGCCAAGTTGTTTGTATTTGGAACAAGGTTCTATGGTACCTTGGTGTAGTCTATAGAGCAAGGTATAGTCAAGGCAAAAAATACATAAGTAGAAATATAACACAAAGATACTAGAAGATAATGTGTCTATCAGAAAGAATAAGGGGTTATGGGAAAGGGTTAGCAAAAATGATAAGTAAAATTGCATACTTAGTAAATTTTGTTGCACCAAATGTGGGTATCTCTCTGCATCTTTAGCAGTGTTCCTGTCCATTGATTCTCTTCCTAGGTGTATTCTGATGTATTCACCACCGTCAGCCATGGCTGAACTGCCTTCTGTCAACACATCAGTCTGTACCACACTTTATTTTTATGGGATCACCATTTTCCTGACCAGCTTTCTCCTCAGCCTCCTTGCTATTGTGGTACGGTGCTACCTGCCTTTATGGACAGATAGGGAAGATTGGGAGGGATGCAGCAGTATTCCTAGGGACTGGGAAAAATGGGATGGAGAGGCATTTCCTAAAGTTCTAGATCTAAGAAAGTAGCTAAGAGATATTGATACTTTAATTACTACCTCAGTTTTTGGATTTCTCAAGATTAAATGATTAATGGGGAAAGAGCCTGTATTAATTATGTGATAATTATGCTCACCCTAGAACTAATATATGTTCCTGTGGATCCTCATGGAAAACCAAACCAGAAGATTAGTATGTGTCAGGTATATCCTTTATACAGGATAACACTCCAGAAATAGGAAATATGCTTTGATTTAATTTGATAATTTTCCAAATAACAAAGGAGTTTTCTTTTCTCAATTATTTATTGGGTGTAAATGCATATATGCTGTGTCTGACTGGGGTTAAAGTGCTAAGTGGCTTAAGCAGTTACTAAATACTCATTTGACATCACCAGAATGATGTACAATTAAAATAATTAGCTATGGGACAATATGTTATTTACATGTAACTGCCTAGTATAAAATCAGTACACAAGTGAATATGCCTTTGTATTTGCCATATCTACTTTTCAGTATCATTTTTTCCTTTCTTCATATGCTAATTCAAGGATTACAAACTATCTGCCTGCAGACCAAATTTATCCTACAGAGATGTTTTATTTTGCTAGCACAGCTGGAACATGTGAACCAAATATAATTGCAGAGAATTTCCTTTGACAATTTAAAAATAAGTTAGGGGGATAGCTTAGTTCAAATCAGCAACTATGTAAAGAGGGTGAAATGGTTACTTTATATTAAGATGGTTTTGATAATCTACATTTAGAACTAATTGACAAGAGAGTCAGGTATCCCAGAGCCTGGCATCCTGGAGAATCTTGCTTCTTTAGAATAGCCTAAGCTTCAGTGGGCATTCAGAATCAGAACTGATTCTAGTAGATGAAAATATTCCTAAATAAGTAAAAGCCGCCTTTTGATTCCAGTGTCTGTGGGGAAAGGAAACTACATGGCTAAACTTAATTAAATAATTGACTTGTTCACTTGGAGAGTGGGTCTGGATTATTTGGGAAAATTTTAGATTTGGTCAGATTTGTTACCAAGATTATTACTTAATTTACTCCCCACAAAAAGCACTTTGGAAATCTAAACTGATTTGTATTCCATGAGCTTAACCTTATTCAGATAACCCCCCAAAAGAAGGGGGAAATGGTATTTTCCATCTAAGGACAATAAGACTTCCTAAAATTTTTTTTTTCTTAGAGTTGAGAATTTAAGCCCAGCCACAGTGCTCAAGTATTTATTTTAAGGGTATTAAGTACAGAATGCTTTCTAACATAATCTCTAGTAAAGTGTTTTAAGAGGGTCTGGGTAGATCTTAACTTTAACTTCCCGTGCATATATGGTGATTAGCCTCAGTCAGGGAAAAAAAAAAAAAAAGCCTGAGTGTTGATGTAATGTTTATATATGGAATATGATAAACACAGGTTTATTTGTCCATTTCCTGGCCAAGCAGAAGTTCACTCTGAAGATAATTTTCTCTCAGAAGAAGCCAGGTCTCTAAGACACGTCTCTAATGGTAAAGACAGGAGAATGAGTTTTCTTGCTGTCAGATCCCAAGAGAAGTGATCCCTCTACAATGATAGGAGGCCACACCTGGGAAGTTTTACCAAGCCTCAGGCAAAGCTACTCAACTGCTGTACCCATGTTTAGGTCTTACTCATCCAAACCCAGACCCTATATAAGAAGTTTGTGAAATCGACTGGCTTTCTGGGGACCGAACAGTGGGCAGTGATTCACATCGTGGAACAGCGAGTGCGCTTCTATCCAGTGGCCTTCTTTTGCTGCTGGGGCCCAGGTGGGTATCTTAATGGAAAAAGCTGGGTAATGATGAGGGCAGCTATTGGGTTCTGATCAAGCAAAGTGGTCTTACCAGTAAGGGTGACTGCAACTTGTAAAATTCTTGTCCAACTGTAGAACTTATGTTTGTCCCACTCATATATCAAGTTTCCCCAACTTTCTTGTTTTTCTTCTTATGTTTTAGAAATTATGGTAATTAGACATGAGATGCAATCCAGTAAGAGAGAAAATGTCCTGACAGAGCTCAGAGATCTTAACACCTGCCCTTCCTACTACACAAAGTGTAGTGAGGATCAGATTGGATAATGTTTATAAAAAAGCTTGGTAAATTCTGAAATGCTAAGAAGTGTAACTTATCTTCCTGTAGTGTGCCTTACCATCATTGCTACACTAATAACCTGCAAAGGTTAGTCAATGAGGAATAGAAGTTGGAGATTGGAGGCCCAGTGGTTTATGGAACTGGTTAATCTCAGTCCTAGTCTTCATTATGCCTATGGCTTTATTTCTCACAGTGCTTAGGCATGTATACTGGACAATTTTATGCTTAGAGGACAGGGTTGTCAACAAGATTCATACTTTGTGTTTTCACAGCCGTCATTCTGATAATCATGAAGTTGACTAAGCCACAGAACACGAAGCTTCACATGGCCCTCTGTGTTCTCCAGGTAACACCTTCCACATCTGTTTTTATACCCTCTTACTCTGTTCTCTTACACTACCATTACTCAGTAAGCACAATTTTTTTTTGCCTTAGCATATTTATTTCAACATTGCAAAAGAAAAAATGTATTCTTTATATTTATGAAGAATGTGAAATTTTCCTCACAGCTGAGGTAGATACTTTGGTGAAAGTGCTGCCATGCATTTCAGAGCATATGTATCTCTGGTCAGCTTCATTTTATTGATAGTTTTTAAGGGATACGTAACAAAAAAACAAGATCTACTAGATAATGTTTTTGTGAAACACTGATGGTGACATGATTCTGTCCCATCCAGAGTGAACTGAATGGGGTAAATTAGCTATTCTAGGTAAATGGGGAAAGACGAATGCAGAAATAGAATGATTCTCTCTTTTCCTCTTTTATCAGATTTAAGAAGGCTTTTTGGGCTATCTGACTATACTGATAGGGCAGTTTTCTCAAGCCTAACCTGGGAAATGGAAGTAACAAGGAAGGGCATTGAAACCAGTTCATTTTCCTTATGTTTATGCCAAGAAATCTGACCAACTCTGTCATCCATGACGAGATACAGTATGAAGAGTGAGTTTATTAGGAAGAGCTAGAAAAATATAAAAAACTGACACTAGATCTTGATGTTTGAGATAGAGGAAATGTAACAATGCTTTATAAATAAGGGGAATGGGGACTACTCCCTGGATCTCTGAAAACCTGAAGGATGGGCTCCATCACCCCTTCATCTCCTCCAGGCTCTAACAGCATCATCCCAGGGTCTGCTCAACTGTGGAGTATATGGCTGGACACAGTACAAGTTCTACCAACTAAAGCAAGAGGCTCGGCGTGATGCAGACACCCAAACACCATTATTATGCTCACAGAAGAGATTCTATAGCAGGGGCCTAGATACAGTGGAGTCTACCCTTGCTTTTGCTACCAGCCCTCCACCATTCTTTGAAACTGTAATACTGGAACATCCAGGAACTGGAGTTATTCCACACTAATGGATTGGGAAGCGTGTGGGGGAACATCTCCAGTCTTTTCCAACCATGCCTTGAACTATGGAAGGGAAAGAGGATGTAGTGCGTGGTTAGTGGCTTTTCTCATTGAATTGGGCAGGATCTCTCCAGTATTCTCAGATTCACTTGTGATTCTTAAAGTCTTATTCAGAGAGGTGAAGCCACTGTCCTATGAAATAGACTCCTATTACCTCAGTGAATATTAGATTTGTTTAAATCTCTTGTAGATAAATTCTAGGTTATTATTTATATGTGCCCTTTCCAGGCTCTCTACTCTGTGATTGTGGGGGAAGTAGGGTGACATACAACAACTTGCTCAGATTTTGCCAGTATTGTTACTCTAAGACCAGACAAAGAAAATCCTGGGTTTCTGTTCTTTGAAGGTTTCTGAGACTCAGAAGAAACAAAGACAATAACTACCAAAAAAATGACCGTGGGATCCTCAGGCACATCCTACTCTGTTATTTGCTCAGTGCTGTTTCAAGTCTCAACAGTGGGGACCATCTGCTCTAGAAAATTAAGGCCAATCTTACGAAGTTACAGAGGATAATAAGATTTAAGAGAAATCAGGATTAAAAGAAACTTTAGATATCAAAAACTCTCAACTCCATTTACAAGCAGTAGTCCAAAGATAGGTTTCATAGTGCCTGAACATAGAATTAGGTTGAACCATGTGAACTTGCCATTTTTATAGGTGAAGAAGGCCTAATATCAATTTTACATGGTTCGACCTACTGCTAAGTGCTAAATGTATGTTTATAGAAAAAAAAATGAATGAACAAGTGAATGAATGGCTAGTAAGGAGAATTTGAACCTTTTGGGAAAGAAAAGATTTCCAGCCTGCAGAGTCACATTCATAGTAGGAATGTCTAATCCGTTTCTTTAACTATACAAGTGATGTTTGGTCTCTCCAGTTGAGTCATGAACAAGTCTGAGGCCAGGGCATCATATACTATGATGCCCAAAGAAAGAGGAAAGCCAAGTGGACAAAGTGGCTGGAATGAGAATCAACTACAACACCTAGAGTTAATAATCAGATGCTTCTCACCTGATATACTCCTTTGGTTTGTCCAAGGAAAAATCCTTAAGATTAGAGAAAATTTACAGAGTAGATTACAGTGGGGGATTAGACAGGATGCTCTGAAACGTAAGTTCTAGAGATCGTTCCAAAGGAACTCTCTACAGAAATGTTAGGGAGCTCACAGTAACAGCTTAAACATTAAAAAAAAAAAAAAATCACATCTTGAGGCCTCTCATTGCCCCAGAGCTCTGGAGACCTGATTTCTGGATAGCACAGAACAGGAAAGATTGCTTCACCAAGGGAGCTGCTTTAACCTCTTTTAATTTAAAAATGAATAAGTATTTGACATTTGAAGAGACAGATGGAAAAAAGAAAGAATTCCTATTTCCATAGACCTTGAGGGACACCAGAACTACAGAGTCCAATTGTTAAAAAGTCCTTTTAGTGTCACTTCATATTTGGCTTTATTACCAGAAAGAGGGTAATTATCAAATGTTTGTCAAGTTTGTTCATCTTGCTTCTCTGATGAATTTTTAAATTGACACTGGTCTTACATCTTCTATAGATGTAAGCAAATAAATAGATAGTAGGAATGAGGAATTGTAAAAGGCTAGGCAAGATCCAGATTAGTATTATCAGCTTTTTATCATACTGAGAATCAGAGGGGACACGTAGAACTGGGCCACTATTCAAACTGTCCCCATAACCTTCAGATTCACATGTAGGAAGGGTATAGACAGATATAGTGGCAGTTCTTAAAATTGTTGCAAATACCCCTCCATGACACTTGTCCAGGCTGTAGTCATAATGGAGTATAGTGGTTTTATCTAAGCAGGTTTGATTAATATAGATTTTCTGTGGACCACTTTGGGTACCATCCTTCATCTCCCTGTCATCAATTCTGTCTGTGGCTTCAAAACTGTGCATTCCAATACCACATGTCCCATATGGGGAACTGGGTGTTTGATGTTTTTCAGTTTAGTCAACAGCTTTTCACATTTTGCATCTTTGGCCTTGCAGTTAATGAAGATCTTAACCATCCCTTTAGATTCACTGCCACAGTTTCTAAACCTGCCACTCTTGGTATTCGGGTAATGATATCAACTTTCTAGGCAACCTTTGTGCCCTTTCCAAAGATTTTAACACACTGATTTGCTGTGCTTTAACACCAGGCCTGCTAACGGTAACCTTGTTCTTTTTAAGGTGTGCTGTCTTGCTGGTAGATATCTGTCTGGCACCACCTTGAGGTGCCATTACTGTGTTCTGGGAGGTCACACTCATCTACACTGAGGCAGCACTTTCTACCTTTAGAAATATGCAGGTTTTGGAGAAGGATCCAAGTGTGCAGTCTGAACCTTTCTTCAGCTGGCATGAGGGCAGACAACAATGATCCTTTTAACAGTCACTGCCACAATCACATTCTTTTCCTTTATCTATTGTCTTTTTTTTTTTTTTTTTTACAATATGGCTTTCCAAAGGAGCTTTGGAGCTCAGGTTTATTAAACAGACAGTTCCCTCAGTGCTTGTACAACAGCTGGTGGAAGTTGTCAAAGCTGCAGTTGCTGAAGCCCATATCTACAGTAAGAAATTCATGCATAGGGCAAAGGTTCTGGCTATGACACTTGCAGGCCACATGGTCATGCTTCATTCCCAAGTTTTGGCCAAGCTCATGAGCCATAAAAGCTGTGAAATGTGGTATATTTTCATGAGATAAGGATTCAGTACTGGTTGCATTCTCAGCACTGCAGATAACATTAAGAAATGCATGGTCCTCGTAGTTCCCAAGACTTTGGCTTAATGATCATATGAGTAACATTATGCTTCACCCTTCTCAAAAGATGCCAGTCTGTCTAGCAGTTAAAAATTTGAAGTGTTTCTTACAAATTCAGGGAGATTTTCTGGTTTCTCTGTGTCCATATCTTTAACCCAGTAAGTAATACTGTCACGTTTACTTCCTTCATGTACCAGTTAACCATAGCATGAACATCCATTACCATCTGTGTTGTCTTGGTAACATTATTCCACATTTGGAACTGCTTGTTGTCAACCACAGTAAACATTTCTGCATACTTGGGAAGTGACTACATTTAGGACATTGGAAACGAGGAGGGTTCTATTTTGCTGTGAAATTGTGAAGTGGTTAAGAGCTCCTCCTGTTCATCTCCACTGACTACATAAGACTAACCTGATTTTAAAGATATGCTGAAAACCATATGCTCAAAATTCTTTGAAGTGTATATAGGTTTGATGCCAAAGACAATGTCATGTAAGGTCAGGATTCCCTTTATAGCCCAGCAAGTGTTGATAATAACAAGAGAATGCAGGTCACCCTCTGAATACCCAGTCGTCCTGAATAAAAGGCATGATCCAAGCTTAGTTTTTCATTTTGATGTTTATAAACAGAGAAGTTCTTGACAAATATCCCTAAACCTTATCAATGACCATTTGATTTCATAGAGGAAAGGGCAAAAGGGAGGCAAAATAACTAGGGTTGTCATTGTCATGGCCCAGTTGAAGCAACTAATGATCCTGCACTTCTGTCTCAGTTGCGTTCCCCAAGATCCAGATCTTTGTCCACGACACAGTTGTTTGGCCAAAGCTCAAAGCTTTGCTGCCTGTCAGAAGGATAGCTGCCCCAAGCCTGAACATCACATGGTGACATCTGCTGTTTGTGCCTCCTCCTACTCTTGTTTTGCTCTGTCTTCTCAGTAGTGTCCTTACTTTGTAACCCTCATCAAAGCACAACAATTGTGCTGCTTAGCTGAACTCCTGCTGTCTTTATAGAGGAGTATACCAAGGAGAGGAAACTTTCAGAGATCCTGCCAATACTGTTACTCAGCATCAAGCCCCAAGGAAAGAAAAAGATACAACCTTCTTCCTTTAGTCCTAGTCGTAGTCCTCATGGGACAGTCTTCCCCTCCTGTCATTCATTGTTCTTTTGAGTCATTGAAACCAAAGGTTTCAGGAGCAGGGGTTTGTGGATCTCTGGGTAGGTCACAGGCCTCTGCTGTTGAATGCATTTTGCATCATTCCCTACTCTGTACTCTACAGCCCTTTCCAAACCCTCAGTCCTTTTCTCTTTCTTTCTTTCTTTCTTTCTTTCTTTCTTTCTTTCTTTCTTTCTTTCTTTCTCTTTCTTTCTTTCTTTCTTTCTTTCTTTCTTTCTCTTTCTTTCTGTCTTTCTGTCTTTCTTTCTCATGATATGTTTATTGGTTTCTTCCTAGAATACATGAAAAGTGTTTTTAGAATAACTAATCCATGCCTCTCTGAAAAGCAGGTATATGGGGGTGCCTGGGTGGCTCAGTTGAGCATCCGACTTCAACTCAGGTCATGATCTCGCGGTTTGTGGGTTCAAGCCCCATGTCAGGTTCTGTGCTGACAGCTCAGAGCCTGGAGCCTGCTTCGTATTCTGTGTCTCCTCTTCCCCTCCCATGTTCATGCTCTGTCTCTCTCTCTCTCTCAATAATAAATAAATGTTGGGGCGCCTGGGTGGCGCAGTCGGGTAAGCGTCCGACTTCAGCCAGGTCACGATCTCGCGGTCTGTGGGTTCGAGCCCTGCGTCAGGCTCTGGGCTGATGGCTCAGAGCCTGGAGCCTGTTTCCGATTCTGTGTCTCCCTCTCTCTCTGCCCCTCCCCCGTTCATGCTGTGTCTCTCTCTGTCCCAAAAATAAATAAACGTTGAAAAAAAAATTTTTAAATAATAAATAAATGTTAAAAAAAATTTTTTTTAAAAAGAAAAGAAAAACAGATATATGAACTGGAGAATGGTATGAGGTCAAAATAATGTTTTCCAAAATTATTTCAGTTAGTACTTCTGTATCTAGACCTATCCTGTCTGATGATATTATTCCTTTTGGATACAGTTAAGTTCATATGTTACTATTTGTATTTCACTTTGGGTTTGCCCTCACATTTTGGATGATGATGAGTATTTGGGGGACATGTGAAATATTACCATGATTCTAAAACTCAGTACTATCCCAAAAATGTACCCAAAAGTACACTTCCTTAAGCCTTTAATCTGTTCCTGTATCCTACTTCTTTCCATCCAGTTACCAACCACCAATCTTAATAGTACTCAAGTTTATTTTTCCTGTATTTCTTCCTGCACAAATTAACAGATACATGTGTATTTTCTTATAGCCTCTTCTTTATTATGTAAAGGTAGCATAACATTTTCCACTTTCCTTTTTAAAGTTACATCCTATAAATTATTTCCATAGCAGGTCAATGAAATCTTCCTCATTCTCTCTCTCTCTTTTACTGGTGCATAGTATCCATATCGTGGATATAATTTATTTAATCACTCTCCTATGTGTGGGCTTTTCAGTTGTTTACATCATTTTGAAATTACACCAATACATCAACAAATAATCTTACACATATGTATTTTTGTGGAGGCAAGTTCCTCCAAAATGGGAAGGCAGTGCCCAAAGCTAACTGCATATGTAGCTTTGTTTGGTATTGCCAAAGTTCCCTTCAGAAGGGTTTTGCCAGTTGCATTCCCACTAGCAATGTATTAGAGTGCCTATTTTCCCACATTGTAAGTAAGAGAGTTGTGTTACCATTTCATAAATTTTAATTTTCACCAAATAGGTAAGAAGTGGCATCTTGCTGTTGTTTAAGTTGTATTTTTCTAATTTTGAATGAATTTGAACATGTTTGAATATGTTTATGGCTGTTTTTATATCTTTTAATAGTTATCTCTTCATGTCCTTCCCCCTTTTTCTATCAAGGTTTTGGTCTTTTTTCTCCCTAACCTTTTTCCCCAGCTTTATTAAGGTATAATTCATGAATAAAATCACATATATATTAAACTGTACAACATGCTGACTTATGTATATACGTATAAAATATATATTAAATATATTTATGTAAATATACATTTTCTAAAAGGCAAAGGAGCTAGAAGAGTTAAAATAATTTCCAAGAAGTGGCGCCTGGGTGGTTCATTCGGTTAAGCATTCAACTCTCGATTTCAGCTTAGGTCATGATCTCACGGTTCGTGAGTTTGAGCCCCTCATCAGGCTCTGAGTTGATGGCACAGAGCCTGCTTGGGATTTTCTGTCCCTTTTCTCTGCCCCTCTCCCACTCATGTTCTCTATCTAAAAATAAATAAATTTAAAAAAATTAAAAAATATAATTTTGGAGAATAACATGAAAGGAACCAGTATATTCAATTTGAAGACTGTGTGGTATTGGTGATGAGACAGATACACAGATCAATCAAACAGAAAAGAGAACTCACACATGTATGGCCAACTAATTTTTGACAGAGAGGCAAAAGCAATTGCATAGATGAAAGACAGTCTTTTCAACATATGATGCTGGAAAATTAGACATACATAGACAAAAAAATGACCTCAAGCTAAACCTCACATTTTATACAAAAATCACTCCTAAATGGGTCATAGACTTAAATATAAAATATAAAACCATGAAACTTTTTTGGAGAAAATATAGAACATCTTTAGGACTTGGGGAGGAATTCCTAAACGTGATACCAAAAGTGTGATCCATAAAAGAAATCCATAAATTGGACCTCATCAAAGCTAAAAAAAAAAAAAAATTCTTAATTTAGAAAAGATCTTGTTAAGAGTATGAAAAGACATGCTATAAACTGGGAGAAAATATTTATAGACCGTATATCTGATAAAAGACTCATCTAGAATATATAAAGAACTCTAATTACTCAACAATCCAGTTAGAGAATGGGCAAAAGATGAAGAGACATTTCACTGAAAAGGATATATGAATAGTAGATAAGCCCATGAAAAGATGTTTAACATTAGTAGGCATTAGAGGAATGCAAATTAAGACCCCCAAGAGATCATTACAGACCTATGAGAACAGCTAAAATTTGAAAAATAGGGACCATGCCAAATGTTGATGAGGACGCAGAGAAACTAGATCTTTCATACATTTCTGATAGGAGTGTAAAATTGTATAGCAACTCTGGAAAACAAGTAGTTTCTTTAAAAAACTAAGCAAATGGCATGACTTAGCAATTATGGTTCTGGATATTTATCCCAGAGAAATGAAAATGTATGTCTGCATAAAAATCTGTACATAAATAATTACAGAAGCTTTATTTCTAATAGCCAAAAACTGGAAGCAACCAAAGTGTTCCTCAATAGGTGAAAGGTTAAACTGTGTTAAGTCCATATTATGTATTAGCATCAAAAAGGGACGAAACATTGAGCCACAAAACAACTTAGCAGGATCTCAAGGACATTAAGGTGAGTGAAAAAAGCAATATCAAAAGGTTAGAGACCATATGATTCTGTTTGTGTAACATTTTTGAAATGACAGTATTAGAGATGGAAAAGATGTTAGTGGTTGCCCGGGGTTAGGAATGGTGGAGTGACTATATAGAGGGGTGGTATGAATGAGATCTTTGTGGTGATAGCATAGTCCTCTTATCTTGATTGTGGTGGTGGTTACAGAAATCTACACATGATAAAATGGCATAGAACTCTTCACATTGTTTCACTGTCGATGTCCTGGTTGTGACACTCTTCTGTACCAAAGGGGAGAAACTCAGTGAAAAGTATATATGACCTTTTTATGTTATA